AGAAAATATTTTACAAGTTATTCTTTAAATATCTGAAATAAGACATTATTAAAAATTATTAAGAAAATATTTTACAAGTTATTCTTTAAATATCTACCTTTTCTCACGAAGGGAGTCATGTATTGAATGTGATTTCTCTAAATAAAATTATAACAATAAAAAATTCAAAATCCTTTAATTATAAATATTCTAACCTGTATGTTTGTAATCAAATCAGTCAGAGATGATTCCTCCCAATTGAGAAAATTATACTTTCCATTTTCATAATTTATCTTAAAGAAATTGAGTTTTTGCCACAAACTTAAATTTACTATATCCTACGTCTTTGCAACCTGATGTTGTAAAAATAAATATTTTTTAACTTAGAGTATTTGATTTAACAGTTTGAAATATCAAAGGTTTACAACATTGGGTTGAAGCATAAAGGGATAAAAAAATCAAAGTTTGTTGCAAAGACTTAAGCCATTTACAAATAATCTAGATATTGTGTTAAAATAATTTTATCGTCACCACATTACCTTAAAATTATTAATTGTCCCTGTCTCAGTCTAAAGTAAAATAAATTTTAAAAAATTATTTAATTTTAAATTAAAAGTAAAAAATAAAACCTTGACTGCCAATCTATATTCCTTGTCTTGGTTTAGTCTGATTAGGTAGGTTCCGGGGGGTTCATTGCTTAACAACCTTCAAACACAGATTTCTTTATATAAACTACCTTCTCCTCTTAACTTTAATACATTCTAACTTCTCCTCTTAATTTTAATACATTCTACCTTCTCCTCTTAATTTTAATACAAGCTACCTTCTCCACTTAACTTTAATACATCCTACCTTCTCCTCTTAATTTTAATACATTCTAACTTCTCCTCTTTACTTTAATACATCCTACCTTCTCTTCTTATCTCTAAAACATTCTACCTTCTCCTCTTAACTTTAATACATTCTACCTTCTCCTCTTAACTTTAATATATCCTACCTTCTCTTCTTAACTTTAATACATCGTACCTTCTCCTCTGAACTTTAATACATCCTACCTTCTCCTCTTAACTTTATTACACCCTAAACCTTCTACCCTCATCTTTAATATATCCTACTTTCTCCTCTCACCTTTAAAACATCCTACCTTCTTTTCTTATCTTTAATACATTCTACCTTCTCCTCTTAACTTTAATACATTCTACCTTCTCCTTTTGACTTTAATACATCCTACCTTCTCCTCTTAACTTTAATACATCCTACCTTCTCTTCTTATCTTTAATACATTCAACCTTCTCCTCTTAACTTTAATACATCCTACCTTCTCTTCTTATCTTTAATACATT